CTATCTCATTTGTCCTTCTGTATCCCATATCTTCCACACCGTCAATTACATCCGCAGCATTATTAAATTTTAGATCCTTTCGAATGCAAATTTCATCGAAAATTAAGAGGCACTCGGTGTCAATTGGATTCATTTTTTGAAATGCATTTTTTAGTGCTTCAGGAATACATAAATTATTGCCAGGCTGGAGATTCTTTATTTCAGTCCATCGGCGTAATGAGAAAATGCTGGGAAGATTTAAATTTAAGGTTGTCCTTAAGAAAAGATATGTTGAAGTTGACCGATAATAAATGCTGTGAGCAAATAACTTTTCATCATTGTTCCAGGAAGCGTTAGTACATCTCCTAGTTTTGAGAAGCATCTTGGAAAAAACTTTATCATTTTCACTCACATCTAATTTATCAATCAACTTCGAAATGGTAAGCACTTTTATTTTGTTTTTTAGTTTCGAAACTGTCTTTTGTAGGATTATATTTTTTTTTTTAAATATTACATATTTTTTACTTTATTTTTTGGTTGATTTTTTATTGAGAAATATTTTTTTCTATAAAACTCCATATTTTTCAAATTTTTTTTGCAATTATTACAAACTGATTCTGGAGATTCAGATCTTTTTCTTTTATGTTGTGGCGATCTTAACGTAGTCAAATCTACGTCTTCTAATTCTACACATTCTTCATTTGTTACATGCACATCTGACAATCCTAAATTTATATTTGAAACAGAACCGCGCTTTAAATATTTTTTTCCAATTAAATTGGGAGAAAAGTGCGTTTCGCAGATATGTAATTGTGTAGAATTTGATACAAATTCCTCGTTTAAAACGCATTTTTTCTCCCATTCCTTAAATAAAGGCGTATCAAATTCTGGAAACTTGAATATCCTTAAGCCGGGAGTATATCGTTGTGATTTACGACAATGAGGCAATAAGCATCTATTACCTCTTTTTTTAATCTTTTCCATAGTCGCGATTGATTTTAATGAATATGTTAGAACAAACGAAATAACAAAATTATTTTGAATATTAATGGTTTCTTAATTTTCACACTATTCTACAATTTGTAATTGCTTTTATTTACACTTAGTTATATGAAAAAGTTAAAAGTTAGTTATATGAAATTTGAAAGTAAACTAACAAAAACGAGACGAAATTTGTTTAACGTTTTTTTTTGTTTTCAAAAGATTTACCGTTGTGTTTGCCGAGTGGCGGCAAACAGGACAGAATATGTTATTATAAGACAATTAAATAAGTTATTTTGTCTTTGGCGAGATGTTTCACATTTTAATTACAAATTAATTATGCTTATATATGAAATAATGGTTCTGTCTAATCATACATAGTTATGAAAATTGAGTTATATAAATATAAATATAATTTGATATCATATTTTAAAGTCACATAAAATTAAATATCTCTAATTATTAAACTATATATTATATTATATTTAACATAATATAACAATAATAATAATAAAATAAAGTAAAAAATAGTGAACTTCAAAAAGTCCACACAGGAGTTAAAATAATTTAATAGGAATATTAATTCGTAATTGCAATGCTTATTTTCATATGCAATTTTTATTAATGCCAAAAATAAATAAATACACTTGCATTGTGTTCGTTAATACAATCACATAAATATACATCTGTAAATAGTCAACGCATTGAAAAACATAAGGAGAGAGTAAAAACATTGAAAACATAAGAGCAAACTTTTTCATTCGAAAAAAGCATTTCGCAGCTCTCTTAAATTTTATGGGGACGCGCCGTGCGTCCACTACAAAATTTTGCATAGTACAAGCAAATGTATGGAAGTGAACCATCTTTATATTTATTTTGTCTTTGCTTTAAGTTCTGTTCTTACAGACTTATAACATGAAGTTCTAATGTTACTTTAGTTTGTAACATAAGCGTC